AGGTCAAATGTCAAATCTAGTGGGTGTGCCAAGGTCACAGGTCAAATGTCAAATCTAGTGGGTGTGCCAAGGTCACAGGTCAAATGTGAAGTCTGGTGGGTGTGCCCAGGTCACAGGTCAAATGTCAAGTTTAGGGGGTGTGCCCGTTCATTTGATCAAGTCTCGGCAGATCTAAAGGGTGTGTTTCGTTGTTATCGTGTTCGTCAACGTTTTGGACACGTTTTGACACTTTAGCGAAAAACGCCCTCTAGAAACGAAAAATGTAACATAGTGCCCCACCTGCCGCTAGGTGACATTAGCTTGGACAATGTGAGACACGTGTGTAATCAAGCGCCAAGTTCAACTGGTAACACACACCACTGCACAATTCTTGGTTCTGATGATTCTACCTGCTGGTACGACTCCATTCGGATTTACAATTGGTTTGATGGCAATTATCGTCAAGTTTCAAGGTGGGCGGGTCATGGTTTTATCTGCTGTAGTGTAAGGGTAGAAATTTGTACGTAGTTTCTCATTTTCAGATTTTGTGGGAGCACAATTCCAACCAGTGTAACGTTCCAGGATGGCGTGGGTTTGGTCTTGTTCAAATCAGATTATAGCGTCGCCAAGACTGGGTTTGATTTCCAATATGAGTAGATATTAAAATGATGAACACATTGTTGTAAGCCTTGTTTGTTTGGGAGTGGCATAGCAATAATTACTTTTTTGTGTTTAATAAAATCAAGATTCTTATGCATCACCCTGTGTCAAATTCTTAACCTTACGGTTTGTTGGGTAGAGTGTGCATTTCATTCATTTATTTGAGTGGCTGCAAAAGACATCTTAAAGGCAAAAATAATTTTATTTATGTTAGGGGCATCAGGCTAATTTGGTCAATCTGATTTGATGAAGTAAATTTCATGCGGCATGAATTTGATGCATTTATCATTCCCAGGTTAGCGCAAATCTTATAGCAATTGGATCACTTGGAATTTTAGCGTGTAAATGGTCAAAAAATGATTTTTAAAATTTCGAACTTGTGTAAGATACCGTAAAAACTAAAATAGTAGCCGGGGGCTACTATTTAAAAAATCGGTGGCTGGGACCCGGCTACTATTTGAGCAAGGCTACTATTTGGGTACGGTCACTATTTATAAAGTTATGAAAAGATGCACGACTATTATTAGCAAACAACTATTGTAATTTTGTTTCCTGAATCAAACTCAAATTAAATTTTAATAACAGCACCAAATTCTCCCTTAGGTTCGTACTAGATGACAATTCTATAGGTTATGCCTGCTCTTAATTTTAATAATTTCTCCGATAAGCCGAATTTCGTGTTCAATTCGATTTTGTATAACGGAGATTAAATTGAATAGTGATTTAAGTACGTAAATGAGCTGGCTAGGAGATGTCTGCTTGTATGTATGTACATTGGAAATTGACGAACGTCTATAATTCGAATAAGGCTACTATTTGGGCAGGGCTACTATTTGAGCAGGGCTACTATTTGAGTTTTTACGGTATTCTAAATTACTAACTTTAGACAAAGTAGACCTTAACCCCGTATCATTTCATATTTAACTTTTTTCTTCAACTCCGACATTCATACTTTTGTTGAGGACTACGCAACTTCATTACCAGTTTTGGTCCATCGGAACCGAAATTTTCTTAAAGTATTGACTGTTTTGCAAAGCTGGAAGTACCCGTTCCTACATATAACCAACAATCTTTGAAATGTGACTTAGCGCTCTCTGATGATCGGAGTTGCTAGTATGCATGCTTCTACTTGGTGCCACCTACATACATATGCACTTCTGGTGGGCTGTTTGCATGTGGTGATAGTACCAATTTTGTCAACTGCGCTGTCACCGAGCGTTTTGTGAATGAAAAATGTTCCTAGTTATTTCAAACTAACGAGACCAAATTGCCTAGATCAGATTTGTTCCAAAGTAAATCAACCCGCAACAAATTTCCCAATATCAATTTGACCCGACCAAATTTACCCAAAGATTCCATTTACAAAACATCAAACACAGTTCAACAAACCGGATTAAAATGTCTCAGATAAATCAGATACATAAAATGACATATAAAAATCTCGACTTTATTACAAAAGTTCAACCCATATATTATTGGAAATGTCGCTATTACGCAAAATTTTACGCACCAACGCAGAGGTCAACGCCGACGAATTTGTTGGCGGCGGTGGCGCCAATTTTGGAAGATTTTTCGGCGGCGCGGCGCAAATTTATTAATTTATATTCGCAGAATATTTTTGAAGACTACAAGGAATACAAATTTAATAAAATTGATGCATAATTACGGTAGCCGTAATATTTGTTGTTTGGAAATTGAAGTTTTGATATGTAACCCGTCACATTAATTGATGTAAATTTCTCTTGTTGTGCTCTATGGGCCGGAGGCCTAAGAGAGTGGTGGATTAAATAAATAAATCAATCAATCAATTACGGTAGCCATGCACGTATCCTCTTCGGGCAAGCAATTTGACGGAGCTTTTGTTTTTGGCATGGTCATGTGATATGGTGTGGAGGTCAAGATCGCTACAAAAGGTCAAGAGAGTTCATGAAAAAGGGATCAGTTTGGAACCAATAAGCACGCTGCATGGTAGTAACTTAATGATGTATCAGCTGCCTGGAGAGTAGAATTAATATCAAGCGAAACATTGTGATTCAAAAGGAGTGAAATATATCAGAAAAGTTTTGAATTGACTCCATTTTCTGGTGCTCATCTATGTAACTCAACTTGATACTTCAAATTAATTATATTTGGTCCATTTTTCATCTGTGTTTTTCATTTAGGCTGTAGACCGGCTAGAAATATGTAAATTCAAAAATAAATAGGTAGCGTAAGATGAGAATGCAAAATATAATTTGTTTTTATTAATTAATACGGGTATTTTCATGTGCCCATAGCGAAAAGGAAGGCAACCAGAACGAGGTTGGCAGTTGGATTCATGCTGGAGATATCATGTGATTGGAGAGAAAAGAATTGTTCTCAAATTTATAGTGAGGATGACATTCGATAATGTAATTGGATTTGCTTACCAAGGTTCATGCACTATGTCATCATCACGTATTTATTGTCATGAGCTTGTCATTTATTGTCACGAGTTACAGGTTTATTGTTTTGATGGAATAACTTATCTAGGTTGGATTGGCACATTTAATAGACGCTCACAGATTTATTTCGCTTAATTATTTATACCACTCCAATCAGGGTGATGATGGGGCAAAGGATGCAGTGCATGAACATTTGCCAAATGAGTAAGTTGTCAGCAGATTAGTTTTTAGGTGGATAAGCCAAACTTTATAAAACTTTATAAAAATCAAACATTCTTAGTTTCGGGTGAATACACTTGAAGCTTGGTACATTATTAGAAAACTGGTATTACTATCAAATCTTTACTAAGCAAAGTATGGTCATATGTGACCGCTTGTACACATGTATGTACATACTCATGTAATATCGGGCATTACAGTTTAGAAATGTTTCGATAGTGCCCAAACTTCTATGTACCAATGTCATGGTCTAATCTACCATTAAATTTAAAAAATGAGCATGGAAAGATGAGTCTAATTATGTTTAAAAAAGAGGTGAAGAAGTACTTTTTAAATGTCCAGAATACAAAAAGAGTTATAGAATTATTCGAGTTATTCGATTCGGATGAGTATCAAGATTTTCTATGACGTAATCATCATTTGGTATATGTACGTGGGTGTTTTATTATTAATTTTCAAAAGGTATGTTCCGCACTGTTTCTGACCAAACTATACTATACAAATACAAACTATACAAATACGATTCATTTGAGTATCAAGATTGTTTTTCTATGACGTAATCATCAGTTGATATACGTATGTACAAGCAAAATGAAAATTGTGTAATGTATGACTTTCTTTTTTATCCTTGAGGTGTAAAGTCCCATGCAGTGGGGTGCCTCATTGAAATAAATCAAATCAAATCAAAATGTAGTACTGAAATATTGTTACCAAATCTATGTATACCACTGCAGAAAATGTATATGTGACTCTACCAGATTATTATCAGCGTAGTATACATATGTACGTAGGCATGATAAATACCCATTTCCAAATCTATGCAGATTTAAAATATAGCAATGAGGTTAAGATTTAAACCAATATTTTATTCCAACGAGTACTTATGTTTACCATTTAGTTGTCTTAAAAGTATTTAAATCTATTGTTATTTGAACGAATTGACCATTTAGACAGAAAAATCAGTACCATAATTTTTTATAATTTGATTCTCCTATTATAATTATGTATGTGTAGTAATGGACAATTAGTGTATGTATATGCTATTAATTTGTTTCACATTTAACTGATCAAATTAATAAATGTGTGTATAAATTAAATGAAAAATTAAATTAATTAAATGAAAACCAGCACCATGTATTTCACATTATTGACATGTGCAAGGCGTGTTATATTTGGCAATATAAGCGTGAAATAAACGTGATATGCACGACAAAATCACATTTGAGCAACGTCATGTTTTTAACATTGTATCAACTTGCAAAAAGCGGCCGTCATTCACTGTGATCCAGCATGTGATATTTCACATTGTCACAATTTGATTCTTCTACTTGGGATATGTCCCTCGCTAATACGTGCGCCAAACTATGTAAATATGGTGACCCTCTATTCATATTTTACGTATGTGTCCCCTCCCATTCATTTGGAAATCTTGAGAGTTATTGATCTGAAAAAGGTACATCACATGCACTCTAACCTTTACGTCATCATGCTCAGGATTGGAATGGTACAGATGTATAACTAATCACTTGCAAGGTCGTGCTTCACATCAAGCTGAATGTAGCTAACGTGTCAATTCCACAGCGATAATGTATCCCAGCAGAGTAATACATATACCCTAACATCGATAAAAGTTAATGATGACACAATGAACACTGGTCTGGACAAGTGTGATCCCTAAATACAAGCAAAACCAATTATTGAATCGATTGTCATGCAAAGTATAAATTTGAGATCTATTCTATCCTCTTCAATCACACTCAAATTTGCCTTCAACATGAATCCAACTTCACGAATTATTCTCGTCACCTGCCTCTTCGCTGTGGTCACAGGTATGTAAATTTCCATACTTGTAGTCTGTAGGGTATTTATTTGTATTTATACAAATAAATATCCCATAAAATTATACTTCTCACCTTACCCCAGACATTTAGTTTTGTATGCCCGTATTTCTAAATAGCCGCTCCACAGCCCAACCAGGAAAGACCAGAGGATCCTGAACCCGGACTTAGTGGTAAGGCTATAAAATTCGTCATTGGTCATTCGTCAGTAAGGTATTATCTAAGAGTTTATTTTATATTTTAACTTATTTTTAGTGACGACATGTGGCGGAAATATGGACGTATCATCTGCCTCGATTGAGTTTCAACTTGGCGGGTCCATCCGTGCCGATATGAGGTGCGTTTGGATTGTGCAGGCGCCTTACAACGTGCAGAGGTTCACCCTGGTTTCTTCCGGTCTTAAAGAAACCGACGGTCTTTACATCACCCAGTATTATGGACTGGCCTTAGTAACTCAAGAAAATTGTAAGATTTGAGTATGTACATGTATGTGTGCATGTCATGGATCTTAGCTAGCACAGATTAGAAGGAATCCATGACAGGACCATCCTATGTTTCATTAGAGGATTGAATTATAATTTTTAGATCTACACCTGGTCAAAACGTGACACTAAACACAAGAAGCGTGATGATCACCTTGATCGTTGGACACGAGCCCTCGCTTGGATTTAAAATGGAATATTATGCGAGCGGTTCTCCTGTGAGCCCAGATATTACCAGTCACGCGATCTTTTCTACGGCGAAGGGAAACTTGACCTATCCCAGCAACGGTGGAAATTACAGGAATGATGAGATCGCCTTGTTTCCCATTGCCCCAAGTGTCCCGGGGCAACCGACCGTGCGCATCACGAGGGTGGATGTTGAATCTGGTTCAAGTTGCCAATTTGACTCCGTTAGGATTTACAATTGGTTTGAGGACGATTATCTCCAAGTAGCGATGTGAGTGAATCAATTTTTTAGCTGCGCTGCGTATGGAAATTTATTGTTTTTTTTTAATTTGCAGATTTTGTGCGTATACAATTCCAACAAGTGTAACACTCCAGGATGGCGCGGGCGTCGTCTTCTTTTCATCAGATTTTAGCGTCACCAGAACTGGGTTCGACTTTGAGTATGAATAACGTATTAAATAAAAATGATGAACATATTGTTGATTGAACAGATTTGCATATAAGAATTATATTTAGTGCCGGTTAATAAATTGTAGATTTGTATTAATTATTCAGTATCAAACTTGTATTTCAGTACCTACGTACATAGTAGGTCCTACATACGTTTACTTACATGCATTTGAGCACCGTACAAATATTGTATTAAATATATACACATGATGAGCTCCTTTGTGTTTACTTTAATGTTTTTTTGTCATATTGGTTCTTTGATTAGTAAAGTGGTATCGTAGTGATGGCATTACTACGGTAACTAATAGACTGTTGAGGTACCCAGTCCAATAAATTTAAGAAATGGAAGTAACAAAGTGTTCAGGTACTTCTTTACCTGCAAGCAATAAACATTTATATAGTTCACATAAATAGTCCAATTCGGGTACTTTTTGCAGAGTAAAGGTGATGATTACGTGACACAAGCGGGTTCATTCGGACATCATATTGTCATAAAATTCGAGGTAGGATGCAACAAGTTTTATAAACAAAACCATAAAGGTCGATGTGGGCAGTGCAGAGAGGACGCGATCGGTGCAAATGACTTTACGACGGGTAAGTTCAACTTATCTTTTGCATATTCAAATTACGGCATGAGTCGCATATAAACGGACCGTATAGATACACCGACTACATTCTTTATGCATGGTCCATTAATACACATAACTACTGAATGAGTACCCAACCATGCGACTTTGATCCAACTACAGATTCCAGTCTAGTATTTAAATCAGAGAGGTCAAATTTAAAATTTTTGAGTACCTTAGTAACGAATCTTAAGGAGTTAATAATATACAGAGGGTGTTTACAGATTTTGTGGAAAGACAAATTTATGGGTAAACGGCGAACCCTTTATCCGTTTTGGCGCCAAATTTCGAACACGCAATCCCCAAGATCACGGTCACACATGTACCAAGTTTCAAATTTCTATCTTCAAAAACGAGCGCAAAAAGTGACCTCAAAGTGGAGGAATCGGTGAAAGGGGTTTCCAAACAACAGACATTTTTTATCTCTTCCATTGAAAAAGCTTTGTTCCAAGCATCCAAACCCAAAAAATTCCATCGGACTGGTGTCAGGTTACTTGATATGTACCCCTGAAAAAGATTTTGAGGTCATTCCGGGGTTTTCCTTTAAATCTTGGCCGTACGGTTGGGTAATTTCGGCCGCATATGAAAATATCGCGTCGTGATGGATGCAAACTTAACTGTAAGGCGAGGGTCAGGGTTGCAGAAATCTCATCTCACCTTCATAAATCTCATCTCACTGAGATATAGTGAGAAATAGTGAGACATGAGAAATATGAGAAATAGTGAGATTTATGAGCCATGCACTAGCGCCACCTAGCGGACGGGGTTATGAACTACAAGTTTATCTCATTATTTCTCATATTTCTCACTCAGCCCCAACTGAGATAAATGATATAAATCATTAAATCTCACTAAATCTCACTCAATGATATATATCACTTGTAACCCTGGCGAAGGTCAGTTGTCATCCGACTACGAAGTTGACATCATCTCTCGCAAAGTTCAAACCATTTGTGCATAAACTCGTGAAGTTTTGAGTAATTTAAGCACAGCGAAAATGCGAAATTTACATAAGGTACAATTTTATGAATTTTTGGATTAATAATTCTGTTTTCTGCTTTATACTGCTTAAAATATGCAGGTGAAGAATAATCATACGTATTAAGGCTATCCTTAGCCACGTGAATATCTGTAATATGAAAAATAGCAAAGCTAAGGAACGGTTTTGAGTGTAGAGGGTAAAATTTAGCACAAAAAACACAGTTCACTTATTGTTACACCAATTCATGTATTTACATAACACCCGCTTTAAAGTTCTGATTTAGAGGAAAATCTCATTCCTTAAACAGCCGGATTTATTTTCGTTTTTTATTTTGAAAAACCCATGCGAAATTTTTGTTTTGTAAGCGAAAACATGCAAACTTAAGTAAACCTGAATACTTCACGCAAAATAGATTTTTTAAGCTTCTCGATTAAAACTTTCTAATTGAAGGTCGAATCAAACCACTCTCCACCAGAAGGTGAGACTTAGGAACATTTGATTTGTTTGAAATGTTTTGTTAACCTGTACATACCCCTTGAGCTGTATTTATATCAGCTTAGATTAAGCTTTCAATTAAAGCGAGGTGGAAATAATGTGTCAACATTTATCAACAATAGTTATAAATCATGTATGAATTAGGGGAACCTGAACTGGGTCATACATAAATCATTCGTGTATATTTGACGGTTATATTTCTTAATGTTTACAGGTTTCGTGTTTCATCGCATTATTTTGTCTGGGGCGTTTGGCTCTCCTATTGACAAAGGACAGAAAGTCGATAAAACTGGAATGCTTATCTTCAGTCATGCACTCATAAACCACAATCCTGCTCATTTATTGGTTCCAGAAAATGGTAAATTAACAATTCAAGTTATTTTAATGTCCGGCACCCGGACAATTTGGTGAAACCAAAGTTCTAAGCGAACACATTTTTATTTTTAGACAAAAATGACAAACCGAGTATCACCTTTGTCCCCGAGAAAGTTGCAAATCTTATGGCACAATCAGACCGCGTGGTAAGTATTTAAAAAATGTTATATATTTTTTCATAATAATTTCAGCATATCCTTGACTTGCGTTACCGTGCACTCTAAATTATTTGGGGACAAACCATCATCCGGAGCGGTAGTATACTCCAAATACTGCTCTTTTTTGGGTAATGAATGCAGAGACATTTTGTCACGAACGGAAAATAAGTTAACAAAAACTCTTGTACCTTACACATGATGCTTGTTTCCCGTTTGGTACAAAAGTTTCGACTTGTTTTCCGTTGGTGACAAAACCATTACCCAAAAATATGGCAAAATAATAATTAAATACCTCCGCCGTCGTGATTTGTCTCCAAGCTATTTAGAGTGTGAATAAAAATAAATATTTGATTTTAAGGGCAAGGATTTCAGGTCTAACTAGGGATACCCTTTCTATGATAGTTGAAAAATGAGTTCTAATTTAACTTTTTGCATGCACCATGATATGTTTTGATTGCAAAGTGCAAATATTTTTCTGCAAAACCAATTTGCCAATTTTTTAATAGCCTTCAAAGTTGGCGAAAGTGGGGGTGGACTAGGCGGAGTGGGAGCGTGTGGAGATGGGGGCGGTCGTGCCCCCCACTATACACTAACCACCTGTGACGGTCACTATCATCTGTATGACGCAAGGAAATCCATCAGTAACTTATGTTTGATAAATTTAGTAACTTATGTTTACTTGAAATTTAATTAATTGTAAGAAAACTTAGTTAAGTGAATGAAAAAAAATGATGCATGTTGATGGCATTGTGCGAAGTGGTAAGATCAGTTTGCCCAGTTTACGCACCAAGTAAATACTTAAATCCTGTTGTTATTTTAGTCATCAGCTCTTTCTCTTTTGTTAAAACTTCTCTGAAAATTGTTCAATTAAGTAATCATATTAGCAATTACCACTCTAAATATGGCGAAAATCATTAAAGTGTGCGAATTATTACTAGAATTAGTAAAACTAAAATATGACACGGCTGGAGTACCTATAATTGACAGTGGTTTAAATCTAAACGACTTAGCAAGTGAAGGACTGATTTTAATCGAAAATTTACTTTTTAAATTAAATTTTTCAACCAGTACATTTGAAACGCTCGATGCATTAGAAATTACCAGTGACGATGAAATTGACATTTACGGTGACAGTGCTGCTCAAACCGACACAACTTCCGAAGAATCGTCATCGCAGGAATGGGAGATTGAAAGTATCGAACGCAATAATTATAATCTCGAGGAAATGATAAAGATGGGGGCACGTACGCCCCCAGCTCCACACGCTCCCACTCCGTCTAGTCCACCCTCACTTTCGCCAACTTTGAAGGCTATTAAAAAATTGGCAAATTGGTTTTGCAGAAAAATGTTTGCACTTTGCAATCAAAACATAGGATGGTGCATGCAAAAAGTTAAATTAGAACTCATTTTTCAACTATCATAGAAAAGGTATCCCTAGTAAGTCTGTAAAAACCAGGGGAAGGAAATCCCGTCAAGCGATGCCATTCATAACTTATGGGGGATGGTACAAGCGACTTACTTATTTATTCGAATATTTACAATAAATTTTCTATATTTACCATCGAATATGGTTACATACATACATATGCACATAACTTTTACAAACATCTCTACAGCTCACCACCATACCAAGGTACGCCAGGTTGGCAAACGTTTGGCGGCTGGAACTACCGCAAAACGCAGCGACTGACATCCTATGAACAGGCAAGGGCATCAATAATTGTGACTTACTTACATACAATGGGCACGTGTAATCTAGTTTTCTCCGATTTTGACCGGTTTAGTTTTAATTTGCACAAGCAGGTAACAAATAACCCATATTTTTGGATTTATGGACATTATTCTCATGTATGTATGTATTCTACATATAGCTAGATTTATACAACTCAAAATCACGAACCCATTTGATTACTATTTTAATAATTATTTAATTACTAAAAAGCACTCAAGCAGGCCGAAATCTAACTCAAACTTAATACCACTAAATTAACTACCTGTATTACGTTCAACAAAAGAATACAAACTGCGAGACTTGGTAGAATTTTGTTGCATTGTACTTACATGCATATAAATATGTAAGAAAGTTGCGTATAAATTGGATAATGAAACCAATATTTTTTGTAGTGCTTACAACAAGGTAGAAGGCCCGAGTTCTGCAGTAACTTGAACCGTGGTGGAAATTGGGATACGAATATACCGTTTTGATCCCGAAGAAAAAGGACCACTGGTTAGTAAAGAATAAAAATAATACAAATTATCTGGATACATATATATGTAATTTACTCAGTTTCATTGAAACTAATTAAACATATTGGTATGATAACTATGATGTTATGCTTAATATTTATTATTGTGAACATGAGAAAGTAACGGTACGAAAATTAATAAAATTGCATCAGAAATACAGAAATCCGTCATCTTATGAAGCGTCAACTTTAATCGGATAACCTTAAGTTTGACCTCAATATGGGGCATACATATTTATGTACATCTATGCAATCCCAGTTATTTGGCCTTTAGTTCAACATTTATACATGTGCAATAATCATTCATGTATTAAACAAACTCTCACGTCCATGTAAAACGGGTTATGGTTAGATAATTGCGAATTTGGCAAGATGCATAAATTGCATAAAACGGACGGAACAATGAACGGGAAATGACATTGGCATACATATGTAGATAATTGACGGAATGATGTATAAAATCTCCAATTATTTACCAAAAATAAATATAGTCCCTCGAATACTTACGAAGAATTTAGGGAATAATGTTTTCACCTTTTTTTCTAAATGCGTTACTCATATTGGAAGTCGAATCCGGTCTTGGAGACGAAAGAATCTTATGAAAAGAACACAACACCCGCGCCATCCTGGGAAATGACACTTGAATTTCGTCACTAAAAGTTTTGCTAACGCCTCTAGTTTTTCGATCATTTTGGGAATATTCCCACACATAAGCTAACGTGTGTCATTAAAATCACAATAATTTCTTGCCCCCACTCATATTTTGCGTGAAATTGTTTTTTGATTTGGGCCAAAAATTGGGCCTGGGAATAATATTTTACTCAATTATTAGGTTGAGCAACAAATTAGCTAGCGAGCGCAGAAGGCGCAAGCGGCTTGGGGCGCCTTCTTTTTTTGCTCAGGTAAAATTTTTGGCAAGATCTTGGCCCGCCAGCATCCTACCGCAATTATGAATGCCAGGTTCCATGGGTGCAACCGGGCGTCCCCAGAGACCCAATAGTTCTCAGCGGGTGACCCTTTGAGCGTCCTCTCAAGGTCAAAGGTTAAAGAGATGTGGTAGGCAAGACGTCCCTATCCCCACCACACCCAAAAAATCCTCCGCAGTTTTGTAGGCTGGCAGCCAGGGAAAATTAGAGTAACACACAAAAGGTAGTTGTATTAAACCATTTTCACAATACAATAAATTCCATTACAAATACAAAATACGTATGTATGTATGTACATGCTCAACTTGAGATTGGATAAATTTCTTACCAGATTAAATGTAATATTTCGAGTGCAAATGTTGGATACAAATTTTGGAACCACACCCACTGCGGATGTGGTTTCTAAATTTGAGGTATTCTGTCGAGACCTCTTCCTCAAGCTGCAAAGAATGAAATATTACATGGTTCGATTGAATTTTAAAGAGACTGAGAACCGCACGGACTGGGGGCGTGGTTCGTAAATTTTAAGTATTCAGTGGTAATGTCCTCATCGAGCTGAGAAAAATGATATACCACAACCTATGTTTTCGTTAAAATCGAAAAGACGCCGAGGGCCACACCCACTAGAGGTGGAGCACTTGTGTGGTGCGCAGGGGGTGGAGGAATATTTCCGAGATGGAATTCAATTTTTTTTGCTTTGGAATTCCGCTGCAGGTATTAATTGTAATTTACATTTTTTTAAATTGTGACCTTAATTTCGAGGGGCTGTGGTCGAATTTCAAAAATCTTGGAATAAATATTTCGACGATCGTTCTGAGCTTTAGAAAACAGTCGGAATTTTGAAAATCGGCCAACAATTGAAAAATTAATCCGAATTTCAAATTTCAATGGTGTTAAGCATTATGAAATGGACAATACATAAGCCTCTCATCAAGATATATACCTGTAGACTGAAATGTTCTTAATTAAAATGCCTCGACCATAACATTATCGACAATGAATATTTCCAAAATGTTTCCATTTATGTAAATAATCATTGCCATGGTTTAATTTTTTGTCCAGTCCATTGTACATACGTAATAAAAAAATTGATTTCTGTCCAAATCTTAAATTAAATGTAACCATAATTAACTCCAAATTTTTGACGAGTTAACAAACTGAGAATCTATCGATTCTGTAGATCTGATTCTGATCTATAGATATATGTTTATAAACATATATAGTCTTTGGTAGGTATATAAATACAGACATACTTCGATATATAGCGATACGTGAGAAAATAATGCAACGGATTAAGCCAGTAAAAAATTCTGTCCAATTAGGAGCAAATACTATGTATCAGACGTAAAGGCTTGCTCGACAGGGAGATATATAATCCTATTAAAGGAGTCAAATCAAGTTAAATAACAAATGGGTACATACGTATATTCTTTTGATATGAATTGTAAAGTGGTGGTCATACGATCCCGAAAAGATAAATCTATTTGCTCCATTAGAATAACCAAAACCAATTAAATTGATCATCCGACAATTTCGTCTTACGTTGTTTATTTAACTTCATATCAATTTATATACAATTTTCCTTATTCTGGCGTCAACCTTTGGACAGAGGACAATACCCAATTATCTTTATCTATACCTCAAAATGCGCAGTGAGTAATTGTGGTCCAAAATATTGTATTATAAATACAAATCGCTTCCCATCCAACAAATCATTAAAACTATACAACTTGATCGTTCAAAATGTCAATTAAATTGTTTGTCATATTGGCCGTGGTAATCAATTTGTCTGGTGCTGAAAATGGAATTCTACAACTACTACAAAGTAACTAATAAATCCTCTGTCATATATTTGTTACAACAGTTTTAAAAAGTCTATATGATTCATTTTATTACTCAGAAGTAGTCCCTCAAGACTCCAAATTTTGGGAGCCATACATCGTATCCGTCCTTAAAGATTGGCCGATCCACGAATCCTAATCCCAGCCAAAACTAAATATTTCAATTCCAACAGACGAAGACGGCATCGTCCTGCCCCCATTTCGCTTTCTTCTCCCATTTTACATCGGTTTGACGGACGGTCTTGTCGATTTGACATCAAAGTTGGTTACAACTTATTACAAATAGATACCTAATTTAGTCGTATCTAGTACTTATTATGGTCCCACTGAGACATAATGATCTTTTTCCTCAAAGATGGGTGTTTTACAAGGGAATAGGGGATGCTGTCGATCACAGATTTTGAAATTTACGATGGGAAGTGAGACACATTTGGGTGTACATACATATGTCTTTATTCAAGTTTTTATTTATGCAGAGTAGACTCTCACCTACCCCCCTCTCCCCTGGAAAAATATCATTACGTCTCACTGGGACCATAAAGAAACCTAATAAATCTCGAACCTTGTTTATTTGAACCGAAGGCAAAATTACAATTTATTAATATGATGTACTTCAATTTCAGAAATACAACAGTTTACGGATGGAGAGAGACTGATGCCTGGACCACGTCCAATTTTTCCTTTGGAATATTTTCTTTTGAAGGATACATCAACACCTCGCGATTATTGTTTGCTGGAGATTACTTCTCATTAAACTCACTTGAACACGTATTTTATGATCCATCACCATATTATCACAAATATATTGGAAATGACGAATACTACCTGGAATTGACAGATTTCTTCGCATTTATAAAATTTACCTTGAATACCCCCTTAATTGGGAATATTTCAATTACAAATTATGCAGTTGGTTATAATCCGACTCACGGATTTCGTTGGAACTTCAAAAATGCGACGAAAGTCCACGGCGATTCGCGTCGGGAATTAGATGACGCTTATTGGGAACTAAATTCTCATGCAGCTAAGCATGTGTTTTCAACTATGATTTCGAGTATCATGCCTTTCTTAGACTGCATCATAAATAAAACAGTTGGGGTAAGATATTCAAAATTAAGAGGTATACATATTTATTAACTGGGTGCTTATTTGAAATTTTTTAAATGTTTTTTTTACATGTACATTTTTTTAAGAACTGCAACATTTTGGAACTAATGATTGGACAATGTAAGTGTAAATTTAGAATTTAACCTGAACCTTAATAACCGTGGTAACGATGCATTCCCACACACACTCTAAATGTGACTATAAAGCGATGGTAGTAAAAATTGTTACCCTGTAATGGTTACCAAACTGGTCACCCACAGGAAGACATTTTATTGATAGGGCAACACAATTTATTCCCATCGCGCAAAATTCTCATACAGTACGGTTGGTAATTCATTATTACCACGGTTTTCTGGGTGTCTTAAATTAAGTTTAATTTTACGCAACTTTCAGATGACTGCTTGGATTTCACTTCACACCCTGTGAGCTGCGAATATAGTAAAAACTTGTGATATAATTTCTAAAATAATTCTCGTCTGATTTTATTGTAAAAGGAATATTATTTTATGCAAGAAATAAATATATCAATTTTCAAACTGATATAAAATTTTAAGCATTTTTATCCAATTCCAACATAATTTACCGTTTTATGTTTTTGAGGAGCTTATCAACTAGTTTTGTTGCTATTATATGAAATAATTTTTTGCAGGCTGACTTGCAAAATCTTGCATAAATGACCTTGACATTTTAAATATAATTAATGAGATCCTAAATCCTACATATGTTTCTTTAGAGGATTGAACAATTATTTCTAGATCTCAACCTGGTCAGAACTTAACTCTTAACTCAAGCAGCGTCATGATCACTTTAGTCGTTGGACACGCGCCCACGCATGAATTCATGTTGGAATATCATGCAAGCGGTTTCCCTGTGAGCCCAGATATTCAGTCTTGCATTCTTGAAAACGGCGAAGGCAAATTTGACTTGTCCCAGAAACGGTGGAAATTACAGGAATGATGAGATTGCCTTGTTTCCCATCGTCCTAAGTGTCCCGGGTCAACCGACCCTTCGCATCACGAGGGTAGATATCGAACCTGGTTCAACCTGCCAATTTGACTCCGTTAGGATTTACAATTAGTTTGAGGACGATTATCTTCAAGTAGCGATGTGAGTGGTCCAATGTTTTAGCTGCTTTCAGTATGGAAATTTATTGTTTTTTTAATGGGCAGGGTTTGTGGCAGTACGATTGCTCCCGCAGTAACGTTCCAGGATGGCACAGGCGTCTTCTTCTCATTAGATTTAAGCGTCACCAGGACAGGGTTCGACTATGAGTGACGCATTAAGCAAAAATGGTGAACATATTGTCAACATATGTATAGTCCTCGCACTCAGGACTGGCACCTCATAAATCTCATTATGCCCATTTTCGGCGATACCGGCTGTCCATGTTGAATAAACTCTATGTCTCTCGCGAATGCGTCAAAATATGCAAATTATGTGCCAGTCCTGAGTGCGAGGATAGTATGTATGTGTGTCTGGCAAAATAAGTCATGCAATTGTTATTAGTATTTCGAAATTATGAAGCTTATTTGATATTGTGCAAATTATTTAGGATTTTAACAAAAATTGCACAATTTCCAAAAACGCTTCATAATTTCAAAATACTTGCATAATATCTAAAAAATATAACATTTTCAAAAATGGGGTGAAAGTGGGCTAAAGTCAAAAATGTTGTATAATAAAAAAAATACAAAACTGGCCAGATTTTCCGCAGATTGTTGGAAATTGTGAAAAAATGATTTGTACAAATTATCTGAAATTTGTTTGTTTTTGTTGAAGTGTTCATGTATTTGACCTACTGGTCGTTCAGCGGCCGACTGGTACTGTCAAATCAGTTTCAATTTTTCAAATCCGGATTATCCGTCTTTTTTAAGGATTTAAATCCGAATTTAAATCTGGTTTTAAATTATTTTTTGTAATGATTACTTTCCTGGATATTTGAAATAATCAGATAGGGGTGAGACAGCAATATTTAAGCAAATTACAATCTCCACTTTTTTAGAAATTGCATTATTTTTGTAAATTTTCTGACGATGTAGGTAATTTCTGGACATATTTTTCAGGCATGAACTGCAAAAATTTGAAATTTAAAAAAGTGCGTTTAATGTCCGGCATGGTAAAGTGACTGCAACCTTTGTAATGATAATGCAAATGCAACATTAACATTCCAAAGGTCAAGGGATTCAACTACATAGATTTAGTTTCATATGAAGCGTATTATATAAGTAGCAATGCGCCTCTCATGGTTGTCCAAACCATGACTTTGTGCGCAGGTAGAGATCAAGCATGACAAAGCTAACTTCAGTGCGTAGGATAACAACTTATCTTTAGTTTACTTGTTACAAATATGATAATCAACTATCATCATGTATCTTTATAATAAGAAAAGTTAAGATAAGTGCAAATTCAACGAAACAAGTCGATCTAATGATGAAAATGGAGATCATATGGATCAGTCCCGACTTGTTGAGTGTAATATTAACTTTTACTTAGTTTTCTTGTTAAGAATATATTAGTCAAGTATCATTCCATATGTGTGTAACAAGAAAAGGTCACATAGGTCAAGGGTCAACGCACAGGGTCGATCCGAATCCAAAAGGTTAGGAATCGTGACGTGTTAGGCAACTTGATCACGAAGGGGAGAATAAGATAGGGATGAGGAGCGTAGAGTGGTATCAGCGCCACAAGCACTCTAGGTCATCATAGTAGTTATCACACAGAATGTATATATAGCGTAAGCAGAGGAGTGAAGTCAGGAGTCCTCTTTCAGACACGGAACGAGCAGGTTTAGTTTTGCAACCATCAAGGTTGAATAAAATATAAGATTTCAGGAATATTGTAACCTCTTTGCTGCGTAGATTTTTAGGAAATTTAAGATTTAGTTGTTCATAAGTTTTAGATTAAGTTCTCTTCTAGATAGTGATAACAAATATAAATATATAAATTAGCTCTCTTACGTAGAAATTAGTACTTTATTATAAAATCAATATTTTTCAGTCGGTATTGATATAAATAAATATATTTATAAATTCTCTAAAAGTGAACTTCTACAAATTATGTGCTCAAAAGTCATATAATAAGAGGCACCCATGAAAGTGGGTGTGGACAGGCACACGCAAACCCCATAGTTAGAACAGGGGGCGTTACATGACTATCTGGGATTTATAGCACTCAAAATATTTTTAAAATCCACTTTTTCAACGATTTTTATCTTCACGTCGTAAATGTATGTGTCCTTAAAGTAGGGAAATCCGGACTCGTCTCTGAATGAAATCCGAAAAATCCGGATTTTTCGAATTCGAATTATTCAAATTTTACAGCCCAACGGCCGACCTCTCCCGCCGGCAAACCGATGGTCGCACGCTCGTCATAAATATCGTCACAACTTGACGAGAAGTGAATTTACAAGGATATTCCTTCAATTTGCTGAATAAGTCATGTAAATCTTGTGTTCATTTTTGTATGGCTGTCGACCCTTAACTCATTGAACACCTCAGTATATTCCCTTCTCAGGTAACAATTTGATACAGAGTGATGCTTAAGAATCTTGACTTTATTAACCCATACAAATAAATATAATTAATGGTATGATGCTCTTAAACAATAAATTTTGAGCAACAACGTGTTCATCGTTCTTGTATTTACTCATATTGGAAGTCAAATCCGGTCTTGAAGACGCTACTATCGGATGAAAACAAGACGAAACCCACGCCATCCTGGAAGGTAGCACTGGTTGGAATTGTATTTCCACAAAATCTGACAAATTAAAAAAATACGTGTAAATTTCTATAGTCAAGACATCCGTTAAAGTTAAAGAATAGCCAGTTCACGTCTGTTTTTTTGACTACTGTACCAATGGGGGCAAGTTGAGAATGACCGACGGGCTTACAAAATTAGTTCGCAAATGCGAGCAAAACTACTCGTAAAACCTTAAGACTCACCTCGCCACTTGGCGATAATCGTCTTCAAACCAATTGTAAATCCGAATCCAATCATACGCGCACAAGGAATCACTTTCAAGATCCATCCTCGTAAAGCGGATAGTCGGCTGTCCCGGGACACTTGGGGCGATAGGAAACACAGCAGTCTCATAGGGCCTATAAATTCCACCGTTTCTGGGGTAAGTCAAATTTCCTTTCGCCGTCGTCAAGATTTCGACACCGGTAATATCTGGATTCACGTTGGATCCGCTCGCATAATATTCCATCTTGAATCCAAGCGTTGGTGCGTGTCCAACAATCAACGTGATCAGGACGCTTTTTGACTGTAGAATTATGTTCTGCCCAAGTGTACCTCTAAAACAATAATTCAATTTTCAATTCATGAAAAGCAATATTTTGTTACTCAGGTTTTGCTATTGAAACCCATACTAAGGCTATTATTTGGGTTTGTCTGTCAAGATAGTCGGGCTTTTGGGGGCAAGATGAGTATGTTCTTGTGTATTACATTCTGAAAACAATCTTTTTTTCCAAGTAATTTCGCAACAAAGTAGCGCATTAATTGGATTATAAAACTAATTAATCTGAAAATTTGCCAGGCATGTCGTGTTTTCAGATATTATGTATTTTATATGCACTAAATTTGAAAGCCCCAAATATCCCGACTACTCGTTGGTCATGTTCATATTTGCTACCCTAAAACCCAAGAAAACTTGTCCTGCTCGATACTAACGGATCTTGGGTACTTTTAATACGAGAAATCTTTAGGTAACTAATTTAAAGTAGAAATTTAAATATCGTTGTACACCAAGCCAGGAATACAAATGTATATTATTGCAGTAATATGTATATATTTAAATCTTACAATTTTTGTGTCGGTGCAGCCCTAGCCAGCGGGGTAACGTATAGACCATCGGTTTCTTTAAGACCGGAAGCAACAAGGCTGAATCTTTGCGCGGAGGAAGGTGCCTGCACAATCCAGACGCACCTCATATCGGCACGGATTGACCCGCCAAGTTGAAACTCAATCGAGGCCGAGGATGCGTTCACAAAGCCGCCACATGTCGTCACTAGGAATAAGTGTATACAAAATAGAATTTTCTATATAAGTTTCAATGAAATACATATGTAATTCCACAGATTGTTACATACCATTAATTTTACGTCTTACCTCTAAGCACGGGTTCAGGGTCCTAGGCTCTTCCCTGGTTAGGCTGTGGGGCGGCTAGAAGTAAATACATTCAAAACTAAGTGTTTGGGGTAAAGTGGGAATCGAAAATGTATGGTTAAATTTATTGTACGTGTACGTGTCACCTAATTTGCATAAATCTTACTATGCCCAGTTTAAACTATACTGACTGGCTTTCCATGTTGAATAAACTCTCGTTTCTCGAGAATGTATCGAAATATGCAAATGAGGTGACGCGCACAAATAAGTGAGCTATAATTGGTGAAATAATGTACTTACCAGCCATTACAGCGAAGAGGAAGGCAACGAGAATAATTGTGGCAATTAGATTCATGTTGAAGACGAATTGTGGAATGGTTGGAAAGAAGAGAATTAGTCTCATTTATATTCTTCAAGACAATACATAC